AGACACACCACTGTACATTAAGTATAAAAACTAGTAGCTAGAATGTAGGATTAAGACACACCACTGTACATTAAGTATAAAAACTAGTAGCTACAATGTATGATTAAGACACCAGCTGAAACACGTAAAGAACTTAACGTTCTGTCAGAATACGACACATACCTCGTGTAGCATTGCGCGAAATTCAAAAAACAAACAAACAAATATATTGGTTTCTCTACAAATCACAACTTTTCTGTTGCTTACCAATAATATTAACCATATGGCTGCGGCGGACGGTGCGTCCCCTTAGGTAATCCAGTCTACATCTGTATTCACCAGCGTCTTCCTCCTTCACTGGTTCTATGACGAGAAAGGCTTTTCTTTCCGTGATATTTAAGGTAATTCGAGAGGCATGGTTCTGAAGCAAAGTATGCACTGCTAAAGCTATAGATTCGCGGTATCTCGCGTCCACACTGAAGATAGGATATCCCGAGGTTCCCTGGTACCACAACATGAGCACCACACGGTCGTCTGGAGAAGGGGGGGTGATATCGCACGGAAGTATTAATTTTCCTCCTGCTATAAAGTTGTATTCTGTGGATTCTAGAAAGTTAACCACAAAACGATAAATGTAAAGAAACACGAACGTCTTGAGATTACGATAACACTTTTTTTTTTATCTCATCAAGTTCGGAAGAACTGTATTAAGCAGTTAAACGACAGTTTGAAAAATTAAGTTCTGCATTATCTCTTTCTTTTAATTTTTAAAGAAGTTGGGTTTTCAGTTAAAAAAGAACGGTTTACACAATTGATATTACATATATAATATGCATAGCTATATTTACCTTCTTGCTCGATGTAGTGGTGTGCAGGCTTGAGCTTGATACTCGGAATTCCTGGTAAACATATAAGTTTCTGTTACTTGCTCTATAGCCATGAAATAAATCTTTCTATGGGTTATTTCGAGCGCCCAGATCGCTTTAAAGGAGCAGAGCACATTAATATGTAAATACAATCGTCAATAAAATAACTAATAAAATACTAGTTATCAACATTCAGTAGTATCATTGAAATAAATATTTTTTTCTTTATTGAAAATCACGCTCTCCCTTTTTTTTGAAAAAAATAAAATCATAATATTAACCTCTATTGTTATTCTAGTTGGTTCTCAACCTAACAATGTCCCACATACCTACAGTCCAATTAACATTCTAGTGAGTTCTCAACCTAACAATGTCCCACATCCCTACAGTCCACTTAACATTCTAGTGGGTTCTCAACCTTACAAAGTCCCACATACCTACAGTCCAATTAACATTCTAGTGAGTTTTCAACCTTACAATGTCCCACATATCTAGTCCAATTAACATTCTAGTGGGTTCTCAACCTTACAATGTCCCACATACCTAGTCCAATTAACATTCCAGTGAGTTCTCTACCTAACAATGTCCCACATCCCTACAGTCCAATTAACATTCTAGTGAGTTCTCAACCTAACAATGTCCCACATACCTACAGTCCAATTAACATTCTAGTGGGTTCTCAACCTAACAATGTCCCACATCTCTACAGTCCAATTAACATTCTAGTGGGTTCTCAACCTAACAATGTCCCACATCCCTACAGTCCAATTAACATTCTAGTGGGTTCTCAACCTAACAATGTCCCACATACCTAGTCCAATTAACATTCTAGTGGGTTCTCAACCTAACAATGTCCAACATCCCTACAGTCCAATTAACATTCTAGTGAGTTCTCAACCTAACAATGTCCCACATCTCTACAGTCCAATTACTGATTCAGTGGCTTCTTAATCCAACAATGTCTCACAGTAGTTAGGGTAAATCTTTTATTGCAAACATTTTCAGCCTCTCCCCACCCACTCCAAATAAAAAAAAAGCGAATGCATATGGGCTAATCTCAGTTTGCACTGCATTTATTTATGAAATAAATGGTAATTCGTAAAATATCATATAATATTTACTTCATGCTAAAGTCTATATAAACGGAACAAAATCATGATGCACGAATTAAAACCATTAACATTTATGATAGCAAAGTGTAGTTTACAAAATGTTAGATTTGAGATAATAAATGTTTATGACTTAACGCCGTATAAAACTGTCTATATTTTTTCTTGTTTCATAGATCTCATATTCTACTATACAGCTACTTTTATGTTTTATAAATGCTGTTCATGCGAATCATCACTGGACAGACCGTTAAGCCTAAAATGTTTTTGACGAATATTTATACAGAAAATATAATTATGTTTGGTAAACACCTTAGTTATTGGATCAATATGTGTCATGTCGTTCTTAGAATCGAAATGCTTCATTTTTCAAAATATTACAACGAATTGAGAGTTTTCCGTCAGCATACATTAAAAAAGTACGAAACAAAGTTTGGTTGATTGTTTATCTTTTACGCACTAACGTGCACTATAACTGCATAGAGCAGGTATATTTACATACTGAGTTTTCTTTTCTGAAACATTATGTTTAATAAGTTAGTTTCAATTCATCAAAATATATTACTTATATCATACGGTGATCTGGTGTAGCATAATTTAACCTTGGCACAAAATCAGCTTTCCAGATCTAGATGTCCACATGTGAAAATGATCTGTCGTTTTGATTTATTAGCAACCATTTATTTACTCGAAGGTTCGTGTTAGTTGATCGCAATTACAATTCCTTCTTTTACAAAATATTCGCTAGTTTTTCGTTTGTTTGTTTGCTGTTAAGAACAATAGTACACAATGGGCTATCTGTTTCGGGCCCATCACGGGTATCAAAAACCGATCTTTAGTGTTAAAAGCCCTAAGATTGAGGCTGAGCTACTAGAGGCAAACCAACTAGTGGAAAGTCTTATGAATTAAAAGAATAAAAATACAGAAAAATTGCGATCAAATTTTATGTTTCAGCCCACGTTAGCCAATATTTCGTAACTTTTATCAGCTCAAATAAAATAAAGTTCGTAGTTATATTTTACATCTTTTCTGTTGTAGGAAATAAAATGTAAGTTTTGTTCAGGTTAAAATTAGGGCTTCACTATTGTGTCTGAGAAAACAAATCACCTGCTCCTAATCAAGTATGTACAAAAGAAGAAACAACAAGTGTTTGATTCCTGTTGCTCAAGTTCAGTAATTTGTCACTTTATATTCGTATTTGTATTTATGGCGCATCTACTGAGGTTACCTATAGCTAACACTTTACGATCTATTTGGGATTATTTGAATTAAAATTCATTAATGAAAGAACAGATTAGTTTAGCTTTAAATATAATCTCTGAAATGGGGCATGGAATAAAATAGCTGTAATTAAGTGATCTAGTTAAAGGATAGGATATTATAAATCAACGTTTTTAACTTACAATAGGATTATTAGGAAGTTCAAGAACAAATTACTTCTCATGCTCATAGACATGAACCCAAGGATTTTGTTCTCATGGTTCTTTAAGCAACAAACTGGGACTAAACGATAATTATGCGAATAACAAGTTAGTAAATTTTGCTAAATTCTTCACTATTTCTAGCTGTACTGAGAATAACTTGAACATATAGTTAGCAAACGACCTTTACTAATAGTAAATGAATAATGGTATGGTAGTAGATAAGATATTCATGTCCTGGTGGTAGTAATCCTGGTGTCATCTTAGGATATATATACAGATTACAGCTTCACTTGGAATACTGTATGGAATCGTGTTCTTCTAGCCTAAGAATATAAGTTGACTTATTGAAAAGGGTTAAATGGAGGATTTATTGAAAATGGTTCAGATGAGGACTTATTGGAAAGGGTTCAGAGGAGGGTTTAGTAGAAAGGGTTCAGAAGATGACTTATTGGAAAGGGTTGAAAGGAGGACTTAGCGGAAAGGTTTCATAAAATGATTTATTGAAAAGGGTTCAGATGAGGACTTATTGGAGAGGGTTCAGAGGATGATTTATTGAAAAGGGTTCATAAGAAGACTTATCGGAAAGGATTCAGAGGAAAACTGCAAGCATAATTCCAAGAATTGCAGGGCTATCTTATGGAGAGGGGTTACGATATCTTAACTTACTTACTTTAGAGTAAAGAAGATTAAAAAGTAATCTTATTGAGATTTATAAAATTATCCAAGAGATCAATGTGATATGAGCTACATATTTTTTTCTATGCCATGAAGACAATAGGAACAGAGCACAAAAATCTGTATATTTCTAAAAGGGTGAATATTTTGTGGAATGAGTTGTCGTTAGTAAAAGTGGAGGCTGGTACCTTACACGTGTTTGAAAGAGGAATCGCTATGAAAATGTTTAAATTTTTATTTTTCCTCAGGGTGGAAATGTAGGGACAGTCTTGAAGGACTACATGGTCTCTTGTTGTCCATACTTCGTGTTTGCTTTAGTTAGATGAAGCTGAGTTTGAAGTAATTGTTTATTTGTTGTTTGTACCATTATTTTCTTTCTTTCTTTGTTGTTTCGCTACTCTATAAATATTTACAATAGCCGTCCCTAATTCGGAAGTGACAGACTAGAGGGACGACGGTTAGTCAACACCACCCATCGCCAACTTTTGGGCTACAATTTTATCAGCAAAAACTGGAATTGACCATTAGATTATAATGCCGCCACAGCTGAAAGGATGAGCATAATCGATGGCGGGATTTTAGTCCGCGACTCGCAAGTTGCAAGTCGAGTGCCCTAACCATCAGGTTATGCCAGGTTTCAGGTTTGATACTAGCCTGATAATGTATTGTTAGTAAAGAGTAAGTGAATTTAGAAACACATTTGAGCATATACTAGTAATTTGGTACAACAACGGGCTTTCAAACTACTTAGTCTAATATGGAAGACCATATTTTTTCAAAGTCAATATTATACAGATTATTATCAGCACTTCCTCAAAATAGTTTTAATTATTGTTCTTCAAAATCCAAAAATAAACCTATGGGCTTAGAAACACAATATTTGGGACCTTCTGCAACCAAAGTGCATATCCTGCGTAGAAAGCAGTTATCCCAATGTGAACTGGAATAGAATTTGGGATCGTGTGAGGAATGCAGTTACACCAGTGTAAACTGAAGTAGAGTGTTGGATCGTGTGTAGAAAGCAGAACCTTGGATCGTAAGTAGAAAGCAATAGCCCCAATGTGAATTGGAGTAGAATGTGGGATCGTGCGTAGAAAGCAATAACCCCAATGTGAACTGGAGTAGAATGTGGGATTGTGCGTAGAAAGCAGTAATACCAGTATGAACTGGAGTAGAACCTTGGATCGTAAGTAGAAAGCAATAACCCCAATGTGAACTGGAGTAGAGTGTTGGATCGTGTGTAGAAAGCGGTAATACCAGTGTGAACTGGAGTGGAATCTGGAGTCATGTGAAAGACAGTTAGTTTGAGACCATAGTATAAACCAGGAATATCGCCAATGAGATTCTCTCAGATTAAGAGTATCTGCCATGCTATGTACGGTTGTATTATTGTAGTAGCCACATCCAAGAGGTTCGCCAACAATTCAATTTTAAGTATATTACTCTTCTGTAGATAAGACACAAGAGATCCCTATACTTAGGGAATTCATTGTCGAGGAACATTCCATAACGAGGTAGGATGACTGTCAGAGTAGGGATCGCTGTTTGAGAGCTGACACTGTCGAGGAACGTTCCATGACCAGTTAGGATGGCTATCTTAAAGCTGAATCACACGACTTGGACGAATTCGAAAGTGATGGATTCTAGAAAATTCCAGATTTCCAAACTCAGTGACCGAAAATAGGTCTATAGTTCTGAACACTTTTGGTCTGCCAATTATTAATCCCTCGTCATCACAGAAAATTTTATTGTGTCTAATATGGTCAGTTGGAGAATAAGATATTAGGTGGACGGTGTAACAGCTGGTGATGTTAATCAGAAAAGG